CATTTTTAGTTGGCGCCAACACTATCTCTAGTATTGCCTTGACCCCTTCTTAGTTGCCCTGCTAGCCCCTAACCCCTCCCCATCTTTGATCGCCACACCCTAGCCTCCTCCCTCACCACCCACCCTAATCCCTTGTCCGTTCCTTATGAATAATGTTTGAGGGCTACAATTTTTGTGGCTCAAATGGCTCGAAATTGCCAAAACGACGTCGTTTTGGCAATTTCGAGCCATTTAAGCCACAAAAATTGTGGCCCTCAACCATTGCTGGTTCCTTATTTGGAACTCGTCCCTACACATAGGACACCTTTGGTAGGGAGAGCTCCCAAAGCAATCCTTTGAATTTAAATTCCAAGACAATCTTGAAATTCACTTAAGGCTGGTTTGGGATCTACTAAAAAAGATAAAAAGTCAAAAAGTTACTCAAAAAATTATCACTATTCATAAATATATATATATATAAAAAATTAATATATAAATATTAAAAAATAATTCAACTTTTCGGCCCATCAATCAAACCAACTGCCAAGAAAGGAAAAAAAAATTATTTTATAAACATTCACTAAGTGACATTAGAAAAGTTGGGCCCGTGGAGGCCCACCATGGGTCCCGTTTTGATAATTCGAACCATTCAATATGTAAAACTTGTCTAGTACTATATGCCTGTAAAAAATCACGTCTACCGGATATCGCTAACAACATGATCAAATTAATTTTGTATAAAAAATTAATGGTGTTATAATTAACAGTTGACAAAAAAAACTAACACGATCAGATAGCTATCAATATCCAATCAACATGATTTTTTACAAACATATAGTACTGGACGAGTTCTACACATTGAACAGTTCCGATTAGAAAAAAAGAACCCGTAGTGAGCCCCACGAACCAAACAACACCGTTCAATCAAAACTCGAAAAGGAGGCAATATTTTTCCATGTACTCATCCCAGCCGAATGACTGCTTATTTGTACGGCCTAATATACTATATTCTCCTACACACTTATTTATACAATTTTTTAATACAAATTTTTTCATAAAAAGTCAAAAAACTAACTCAAACATCTATATTTTTTTCCTCAACTTTTTAGTCCAAAAAGACAAAAAGTACACTTATTTAGGACACCCCAAACAACCCCTTAATCTCCTTTCACTTTTTAGCTAGCGTCGACACTACCTTTGGTAGCCTCCAATCCCTTCCCATCTCTCATTGCCACACCCTAGCCTCCCTCACCACCCACCCTAGCCCCTACTCCCTTTCCTAACCACTATCTATAATTCCCTCTTTTCTCTTCCAACCACCTTCCACAACCCCCTTTACCCTTACATATGCTATTCCATAGGCCCTTTCCTTCATCACCCCTACCGCCTCCATCTTCTAATTCTCTTGTGCAACTCTCTTTCACACTCTTTTACGTCTCTCTTTGTGCAAGTGAAGAGACATACTTTCACTATATTATGCCAGCCCAACCCAATGTTTATCCACCCCTAGATAGGGGTGGTAGACTTTCTCTATTGGAGAAACATTTTAACTATTAACCCATTGGAGATACTCATAAATATGCAACTTGATTACAACTAAAAAAATATTTTGAAATATCTTAAAAACAAGGTTATACATATATTTTAAAAAATGAGTTACAATGACGAATGTTTTGACAATGAAAGAACTATAAAAAAATCACATTATTCCGTGAAGAATTATGTACGAAATTCTGTTTGTAAGAGCATTACTCTTCAAGAAAAATTGCCCCTTTAATGGCATGAATAGCCAATCAGACCAACACAAAATTAACTCTTGAATTATACCCTGTTTTTATTCCATAACTTTCATTGTCAGCTGAAAAGAAACGCATGCGCACACACAAAAAAAAAAAAAAAAAAAACAAAAAAAAAAAAAAAAAAAGAGAAAAAAAAACCCAAAAACTTAGTTGCCAAACACCGCCTAAACTTGATTAACTTTGGAATAGTGGTGTTATGAACAATGTTCATGTTGCTACTCCTATTGCTAGCTTAAAACGTTTGAAACTAGTTTGGCTTTGTCTGATATAAATGCTAATTACAAGTTCAAAACCATCTCTAATTTCTATTTCTCCCCGTTGCTACTTTCGTGTACGCTTTCGATGCCCTTTCTTGATATGCTTTGTTAATTTCTATCAATTTTACTTTTCAGTTTTCCGTGACTTCCTCCTTTATCATCCATGGTCTCTTCACTTGAATTATATATCCTTTTTGTTTGTTCCCTTCCTGCAATGAAGTTATGGGCACAAAAAAGTTAACAAAAGTGAACCGTGTGGCCTAGATTTATCGCGATTCCGTAGTATTGGAGAAATTATTCAATGCCCTTGGAGCAAATCTAGGTGGTGCTCTAAATTATGGGATTCATCACTTTTGTGTTAAAATTTTAAGAGAAAGTATTAGGTATCAATATGTAAATAGAATAGAGTAATGCTTCTGGAACATTGAATAAGTATTTGTTGTTGTTGTTGGTTTTGTTTTATTTTATTTTAATTTTTTTTTCAGTTTTTAAAACCATTGGTTTTGTTTTTTCAGCATATAAAGAAATCTTAACAAATTTTATAAAGAAAATGTTCACTCTCATAAATATATATTTTCAATAATTTGACAAAACCAATTTTATATAATGAATTCAGAAGGTTTGTATATTAAAAACCAATCTCATGAATACATAGGACTATTTTGAGAATATGTTTATAATCAACTTTTTGTGAGAGAAGGAAGTGAGTTATAATCTGAGATATATATATATATATATATATATATTCCTACGTTTGGATGGCATAAATGATGGCCGGCCTAGTAATACGTAGGACTTCTAATCCCACAAAATTGTGGAATATTCAATACCATATGGAGGTAGGTACTAATAATCCCACACATATTTATCCTACTAATTGAGTTGGACAGTCAATCCAATGATTAATCCCATGGATTATAATCCTGTCACTATTACTCCAACAAATCAAACAGGCCCATAGTGTGGTACCTCATCAAAGTACTCGCGAATAGAAAACAATATCAATTATGATTTACTAACTTTGATCTCATTTCCCTTCTTGAACCACAAAAGGGCATAAGGATGAGGATGATCTTCAACCTTGAGGTTCAACATTCTAACCACTTGCTGAAAAACTACATTCTCGCAACCACCGTTAGCAATGATCATATTGTAAACAGAGCCTTCAATGTTGCAAGTGGTGTAAAAAATATTGGTATGCAACTAATCCACTTCATTTTCTTGCTTAGGTGTCAGAAGAGTCTTCATCATGAGAGCAAGTCCTTCATCTTCCTCACACTATCCCCTCCAATCTCATTATTATTATTATTATTTATTTATTGACAACTATCCCCTCCAATCTGTTCATTAGGTGGTTGGTCATAAATACGAACGTCACCATTGCAATCTTGTTCCAGAACTTTCTCAATAGGAAGCACTTTGCTCTGGTTGTTGCCCAAAGTCTTGCAACAATCCAAAGACCTATGACCCAGTTCTCCACACTTAAAGAACTTAAAACCACCAGTTTGGGTGAATTCTGGCTTCCGGAAGCACCATTAGTGCGTTGAGTTTTCACTGGGGCAGACCTATCCACACTCTTCGATGAAGGACTAAGGACTAGCCTTAGCAAAGCAAGGAGTGGATTAGTCCAGCCTAAAACCACCTTGGAAACCTCCTTGAAGGTGCTGTCCCGTCCTATAACACCTTGGCTTTGTTGCTTCTCAACCGTCAAAGCTCTATTGTAAGGCTCGAAGACTGACCACAAAATGTGTACAACAAGCACATCTTGAATATTAGGCTCCAAGCCGGTAATAGATCTTACAGCTATTTGTTCCTCACTCTCATTGAGGTCAACTTGAACAAGAAGTTCGTAGAATGTTTCCATGTACTCCTCAACGCTCCATATTGCTTGAGGTTATATAAGTGCTCGTACAAATTTTGCAAGTAATAAAAAGGCAAGAATTGCTTCTTCAGTTTCTTCATTTTCTCCCACTCTCAGATCTTGCCGTTGCCATGGCATTCCTTATTCACTTGCAATTGCTCCCACCAAGCAGGAGCTATTCCCTTGAGGCAAATTACCACTAACTTCACCTACTCTTTGGGAATATTGCCATACTGAAACACGTGCTCAATAGTTTTGAGTGAATCAACAAACCAATCCAGATTGAGACTTCCATGGAATTTAGGAAGTATAAGTGCTCGTACAAATTTTGCAAGTAATAAAAAGGCAAGAATTGCTTCTTCAGTTTCTTCATTTTCTCCCACTCTCAGATCTTGCCGTTGCCATGGCATTCCTTATTCACTTGCAATTGCTCCCACCAAGCAGGAGCTATTCCCTCGAGGCAAATTGCCACTAACTTCACCTACTCTTTGGGAATATTGCCATACTGAAACACGTGCTCAATAGTTTTGAGTGAATCAACAAACTGATCCAGATTGAGACTTCCATGGAATTTAGGAAGCTCAATCTTAACGTTGATCTCCATTTGTACTCGTAACATTCTGAATTTGCTTGGTACCTTTGTGGAGCACCAAGAGAATTCTCAAAAGAACGGTGAGTTTTCTTGGTATATTCGGAAGCATCACTATCATCGGTAGGAGCTTGCAAACGTTGCATCTAACAAGCATGGACATGGATACGGACACAGACACAAACATGGTGATTTCAAAAAAAATGGGGATATGGCCACGACAAAATTAACAAAAACTAACACTAATTCGATATAAAAAAAACTCCACTCTTAAGTTAACTCTTATTGTTGTTGTTGTTTTTTTTATTTTATTTTTTTTATTTTTATTTTTATGAAAGATCTATTAATTATTTAAATACAAGCAAAAAGTAGTAAACATTCAACATCCATCAAAAGCACTAAAGAAGATGAGAAAAAGATTAATTGGCGTGTCTCCAAAAAACAAAATTAATCAAATAACGGGGACATACATGTCCGACACCACTACGACCCTATTTTGAGTGTCGGTGCTTCATAGTGTTGCACCATTTCAAAGTTTTGCAATAGCATACATAAATTACCTACCAGCTTGCTCATACAAAAAGAGTAGCAATCTTCCCATCAGCACTCCACCTCGTTAGGCTGAGTTGTGTTCTATGATAATGAAAGAACTAATCAATTTTGATACTAGGACACAAGTAGCACGTTTGGAACGAAGAAAAGAAAAAAAAGGTTATTATTTGGACCTAACAAAATCTTCTCCACACCATAAAAAATCCACAAAATCAAATTTTCCTCCATCTACTTAACAAGAACAGAACAAAAAAAATATACTATTTTGCTTATTGATTTCAGTCCAATTTCAAAAGGGACGTTATTAATTCGACTAAATAGAAACAATATGAAAAATGTAAGAATACAATTAAAGATCACAGTGACAACTACAAATAAAATAAAACAGAGAGACTATAATTTGCTATATATAAAAAATTAAATGAGTTTTTGTATCTAGTAAAAGAGCAGTATCTGCATTTCTTGTTATGAAAAAGGTTTGGGGACTTGGTTTAAACGTCAAGATGGGTGGTGAATTCATGGATCAAGAACCCATTTTTATGTTTGGAGGTTTTTGATATAATCCATTATTAAATTTGTAAGACTCCTAAGTTTGATCTCTGGTTTCAATTTTATTTTTCTATATTCTGTTAATGTCTACCTCATTAAGTTGTCTCATTGTGTAACTATTTAAATTGTTCCTTCACTCCAAATAAGAGAAGACAAAGCAAAAAACACTTCAATACTTAATAACGAAGTCAAAACCAAGATCAAAAATTGTTTCTCAAAACAGAGACAGAATTGAAGTCAAAACTCAATTCATGAAGTCTAATCTAGATCGCAATCAGTTCACGAACTCAAATCAAGATTGAATCCATGTGAAGTCAGATTGAAATCAGAAAAGGAATCACTATCGCAAACTCAGATCAAGGTTGAATCAATGTGAAGTCCGATTGAAATAAGAAAAAAGGAATTGGGTTGAACTCAACAGATCCTCGTTACAATAGAAGAATCACAACAACAAAGTCGATTCAAAGATCATGAATGCGAATCAAAGGCCAAAATCAGATTGCAAAGTCTACTCACAGACCAAAATCAAATTGTGAAATCAAATCTGAGATTGAAACTAGAAATCGAAGTCCAGTCTCTGATGAATCGCAAAGCCCCAAGAAGATGTAAGTCTTGCTTGCTTGAAGTGGCTCAACTAAAGGCTTGGACCACTATAATCAACTGATCAACTCTTCGACACTAAGCTAGGGCTTCAAAACACTATTCATGGCTCACAAGGCAAGTGATATGAAAATCAAATGCCGAATTAGGGTTCAAATCTAGTTCTCACAATTGAAACAGAGAAATCCTTCTCAATTCATGCGATCAATATGTAGGGATAAGAACAAAGGAATGAGTCTTGGGCTCTGATACCAAATGATGGATCAAAGGATCAAAGGATCAAAGAGAGAATTTCCAATGAGGAATTAGAAGAGCTCAAGCTCTGAAAATACAATTTAATTGATCAAAAGTTAATTAGGAGGTATCTACACCCTATTTATAGGCAATTAACACAAAAACAAACATAACAACTTATTACACATAACTACTTACATCATAAGTAGGAAAGAAGGAAAGAGAGAGGAGAGAGAGAGAGAGATCAAATGAGTCATACGCTAGTGACGTGTTGAAAACAAAATGAATTTGGTGTATTTGGTTATACAACAGGAATAATATGGAATTTAAATGGCGATTTACAGTTAATTTCCATCACTCGACAACTGTAATAGAGGAAGACAACCAATTTTAGAAACCACAAGAGAGGTCCGTGTAAGGGAAATTCTATTCATACCACATAAATTCTCAATACACACTATTTGTGTTATTTGGATATAAACTTCCAGACAAAAATAAATTGGTTAAATAAACATTCCCTTCAACTGTTTATGTCTGAACAAATATTTATTTTGTTCGGAAGTTTATATCTGAACAACATAAATGGTGTGCATTAATTTTTTTTGTGATGTGCGAATAAAATTACCCTCTCTATAATTGTCAAAAGCCTTAGGGGAGGTCTGTGTACTTAGCTCATAATTATTTGATCTTTGTCATGAAACATGAGCATACATATAGGCCCTGGTTTGGAAATTAGTTATTTCAGTTGGCTTATTACAAAAAGAAGTGCATAGAAGTAGACAGTGATGTGACAACTTGTTGTGGCTCTTTGGCTAAAAAACTCACCTAACGGGGCCATAATAAGTCTAGTGACAACTACATAAAGCACCCTAACTCACAAGGTGGGTGGGCCCCACACGTTCTACTATGAAATATACGGCACCTGTGGCATTGTTGATATATTACTTCATCAAGATTGAGAATCAATTTTCTCTTATCAAACATATATATGTGTACATATTGAGGATCAATTTGATGTAAAAGGTGGCAACTCAAATTTCAAACAAAGATCCAGGGGGGAATGATTTAATAAGATTTAGACATTTAGAAGTACAAAAACACATTATTTTGATAAGTGTAGACCTGGGTCAAGGGTTTATTAAAATATGCTTACTTTATCCAAATTCTTTCCATACTAGTGCTACTTATTGGCCAAAAGCTGAAATCTTATGTAAGTTTTTCCTAAAGCCTGTAGCATGTGGACTCAATACTATAGATGGTGGAAACTGCAGACCCTTTTACTAAATTCAGTTTCATTTTGGCCTTGCTCTGAGTTTAATTAGGTTCAAATTTGATTGTAGTAACTGGAGTCTCCAACTGACAACATTAGTTATATATGCACAATATCTAATCAATCGCGCTTCAAATTTTGTTGAAAACTATTTTCAAGGACTGCCAAACCCAGTCATATTCATATTCGACAAGACAAAATTCTTCACCCAAATTCATAAAGCAAGCTTAAACCCAGTTCTCAAGGCATACCATATGGTCAAGATTTTTTATAGTGCTTGACTGAGCCACACGTTTAATCTCTTCAACATCACCGTCCGAGTATGCAGAAAGAAGTTTACTCGCACAACGATTCTGATCACTACTCAAAAAAGCTTCAATCCTGCAAAGAAAAATTCAAAAGTAGTAGGTCAAACAAAAGTGGAACTTCTTTTAAAATAACATCATCACGGGAAAGTTAACTTTTGTATATGAGGTGAGGGCTGTCTAAAATATTGTGCATTCTACATTAGCCAGAGCCTCAAAGTTTAAAGTCCAAACAAATGTCATCATGCCAATCCTTCGTAAGTGGTTCAACAATGTGTTTGAAATAAATATATATATATATATAACAAAATAAAAGCACAACATATTTTAGGTACAATGCTACAAAAATAACAAGATCCAACGAATGCCAAAAGCTTGATAACAAAACTAAGCCTTGTTTCCCACTCAAGAAGGGTAGCTAAATGAATCCTTTTTTTCCATTTTGCTTTGTCAAGGGCCTATATACTCAGTTAAATTAAATAAATTCATTTTTTTTTTTTTTTGGGTGAGAAAAATGTAAATCGATATTTTTTTTTACTACCACATCTTTGTCAGTTTAGATCTTCCCCGCTCCCCGCTCCCCCCTAACACTTCTATTTATGATGATTATATCACTCTTTCTTACCGTTGCATCCATAGGTCTTCGTTGTATATGACCAAACCATATTAATTTATTCTCTTAATTTATCTTCAACTGGTTCTAATCCTTCTATTGCATGAATATATTCATTTCTAATTCTATCTTTCCTAGTCTTTACCACACATCCATCTAAATATGCATTCTCATCTTAGCTACACTCATGTATGAACGTATACGCCAAGCACACAACTCCACTTGAGTCAATCTACTTTGTTTCTATGGATCACATCATCCCCAACCTCACCATCCTTACTAAAAATCTAACCTAGGTAATGAAAGTGTTCACTATTTGTTATCTCATAGTTTTCAATCTTCCCTTTCCCATTATTTCTACTTCTAAAATTGCATTCCACATATTTAGTTTTATTTCTACTAATGTTAAAGCCTTTTGGTTCAAGGATTTCTCTCTTCATTTCTAATTTAGTGTTAATTTCTTAGTTTCATCTATTAGAAAATATCATCTGCGAATGACACACACCACGGAACATCCTAAATGTGTTTAGATAAATCCATGACTACACAAATAAGCACTCAAACCCAACCCTTGATGTAACCCTACAATGATTGAGAATTCACTAGTTTCTTTTGCAGGTGATCTAATCGTAGTTACAACTTCATCATACATGTTTTTTATCGCATTAATATCCCCTTTGGTCATACTTTTTTTCTCCAACACCCACCATATTATATCTCTAGGCATCCTATCATAAACTTTTTCTAAATCTGTTCTCTCTATACTTTTATTAATCTTCTTAGTAAATATTATGTTTCCAAAATATAATCTACTAGGTTTAAATCTAAACTAATTCTTTGACACTATTGTTATACGATAATCCTTAAGTGATGCTCAATCACTCTCTTTCTCGCCTCTCTCTCTCTCTCTCTGGCCACTGGCATCTCGCTTCTCTCTCGCCTCTTCCTTTTTTATTTTTTATTTTTTTATTTCTTCTGATTATAAGTATACACCTCTCTATCTCTCTTTCTATATATATATATATATTTATATTTATATCTTTCTATTTTTTTTCTTTATAAGTCTATATCTTTTTCTGTATTTATAATTATTCTAATATATTTTTTAATTTCTCTATTTATTTTTTTTTGCCTTTATAAATATAAAAATAGTGGTTTTATATATAATGAATTAATGTTAATTTTTATTAACTTTGATTGTTTGGTAACATAATATTAATCTACATAGCAAATATATATATGTATATAAATTTGCCATGTTCTCCGCCATGTTTGCATCCCCATTTTTTTGAAATTACTGTGTCTCGTGTCTGTATCCGTGTCTGTGATTGCGATTCATAGCTCTATGCAATTTGTTTATTTTTATATAATCTCACATCTCACATACCAAAAAGGGGGAGCTGTATTACCTCTTTGAGAAAGGTAAGCTGCCTCTCATTAAAAGTTGCACATCTACGTTATTCATCTATTTTATTCATCTCTGGATCGCAAAAGTTGTTGGAGATACTTGAACAAGAATCTTTTTGAGTGTCAAAGAGATATCAAAGGTACATTTTAAATGAGAAGCCTCACATCATGTAAGCTAGAGGAAAGACACGACCGGAGGAAAAAGTAAAGGGAAAAAATGGAGCTGAAGTAGAGAAGGAACATGTGGAGAACAACTGCAACGTTCTTCACATGGTTTCAAAGGTAAATGGGCACTATGTTCCCACAAATACCAGCAGTGGAAGAGGACCACAAATTTGTACAGGAAAATTCAGAAATGTATTTGATTTGAGATGGGTGTAGGAACCAATCTGATTAAGAACACCTACTGTGTTGATAATATCTTAGTACATGTTTTCTAGATCAACCTGGGGAGGTGAAGACAAAATGACTGTTACAAACATGACGGTGTGTTGGTATGTGTTTTCTAAGGCATTATGTTCAAAAGACCTCTAAATGACAAGAAGATTGATTTGTACAAAATCTTCTACTAATATTGTTCTTGAACATCCCGATCTTAGATGAGAAACAAGGTACAGGGATGTGGGAACTAGAAAAAAATATATATATCCGCTTATTAGAGTTAACCCAAATAAGGCCTACAATAAGTCCAGCCCAAACATTTATCGCACCCCCCATCTATATAAAGGGGGGGCATCCCAGAAGAAATGGTATATGCTCTCTCCCTACACTACACACCAATACTCTTGATTTCCATAACTCTATTTTTTCAATCAAAGGACTAACTTTAGTATCAGAGTGTCTCTGGCCGGCAACCCCGATTGGGTGGCGCCGATCATGCTCATCTATGCAGGTCTACAGGAATAAAGTTCATCTTTTCGTTGGATCTCTACAATCCATGTGAGAGGATATTCCATGGTCTCACAATTAGTGCCATCTGTGGGACAGAGCTAAAGAATTCAACGAACAGAAGAATCAATACGACACCCAAGGTACTCGGACCAGTGAGCACTAAAGTTAACCATTCTCTTTCTAAAAAGGAGACCCACAGCTGGGTTTTTGGCTTCTTTCATTCTGATTATGTTTTTTGCTAAAGTTCAGGTATACATATACACATATATACACGTCTATGTATGTATCTATTTATGCTCATAGATTTGATCAAACCCATGTTGAATATTAATATTGCTTAGAAAGGTTGTCAAAACAAGATGAAGTTAGTAGTTGTTCTCTCTCTCTCTAAAAATGGGTTTCACACCTTTCTTGGTGCAACCATCTTTTCAGCAATTCAATAAAGTTGCTCAGCCAAATTCATGCATGATCTATCCATTTATTTATTTATTATTTGTTTCTCAAACTTATCTTGAAGTTGATTCTTAACATGTACGCACATGTACTTATGCTAAAAAAAGTGAGTCTTCATTTTTTCTCTCTCTAGACTAAATTGACATAAATATGGCCAAGAGTTATTATCACAAGTAATTTAAAATTTTTTACTTCATAATTTGTGAGAGTATGAAGCAATCTATACTGTCTTTTTTCATAATTTTACTTCATAAGTTTTCACTTATTACTAAGGTAATCTATACGGCTCATGTTGCCCAAATAATTTTTAGTGTTATCTAAAGGAGGTTTGAAAGCTCTATCATCAGCCTCATACACAGACAGTTCGATACTTCATGCATAGAGACCGACACCACAAAGCTCGGCACTGCGCCTTAGTATAGCACCAGCACCTCGGCTTCATTGCTCGGCGGTTTAGTTTGGCATCAAAATTAACCATCTTGGCCAAAGCCAAGCTATTCCTTGGCACTATCGCTGAAATTGGCAATCCAACAAGGTTGTTCGGTATTCTAAGTAGAGCAACATTATTCAGCTCACTGCTTATTCGGCTCATTGCTTACTCGGCCGCCCATACGTCATACACAGCATCGGACAATCCCGCCCCATTATCTACATTATTCGGCTCACAACATTATATGTCAACTTATTCGGCAACAGAATTCATCGGCATTATGAATGCTGTATGCATATGATCAACTCGGCTTATTCGGCTTTGGCAACTTATTCGGCAAAAATTACACCGCAACATTTCTTATTCGGCACATTCTTTGACAATTATACAGTTTTCAATATTATTACGCAACAATATTCGGCAACGTTGTAACTTATTCGGTACTAATATCTCGGCATAGAACTAGCATCTCGGCTTGCCGAAATCCACATCTGAACATACCACAGGATTTGTATCGGCTCAAAGAGTCCAAACCCACCAACTCGAGGAGCGAAGAAGCAACCTAAGTCCGCCGAAAGTTGTGAAACGGATCACACGTGCCAAAAACTGAAATTTCAAAGCTGTCAAACTCAAGTTTTGACCATACCAATGTGAAGTACTCATTGAGATGAGTCCAACGCAACAAGCCGCGTCAAAATCGGAGCTAAAACGATGCCGTACAGGCCGATCAAAGTTTGCCCAGAATCGACGAATTTGCTGAGGACGACGAATTTGCTGTGAGCCAGAGAAAAATAAATATATCCGCTTATTGGAGTTAACCCAAACAAGGCCTACAATAGGTCCAGCCCAAACATTTATCGCACCCCCCATCTTTATAAAGGGGGTACATCCCAAAAGAAATGATATGTGCTCTCTCCCTACACTACACACCAATACTCTTGATTTCCATAGCTCTATTTTTTCAATCAAAGGACTAACTTTAGCATCGGAACATCTCCGGCCAGCAACCCCGGTTGGGTGGCGCTGATCATGCACATCTATGCAGGTCTACAGAAGTAAAGTTCATCTCTTCGTTGGATCTCTACAATCTATGTGAGGATATTCCATGGTCTCACAAGGGAGATTGATTGAAGATGAAACATAATCAGTTCCAATAATTTTATATTGGCAATAAAATTGTTTGCAGACTAAACTAATCCCAAATTAAAGCAATTTATAGGTGTTTCACGTCACTATTTCAGCTATTTTATATCTGAAGTCTTAGTGCTAGATAGCATTTTCTCAACAATAAGGAGTTTAGTAATACGAAAATATTACTCATCGCAACTGTGATATGTATTTGGGTTTTATCTACTCTACTGAGCTTTCTAAAATAATTTCCTTTATCCAAAAAGAAACGAAAAAAAGGAAATTATGTTACTCCACGTCAACAGCTTGAAGCAACTCATTTAAATTGCTAATGGTCTTTGCCTACAATATTTGGAATAGAAGTAGGATGAAAACCAGCGCATGGAAGAGTAGGGCTAGACATCACGGAAAATTGTTAAAATGAATCTCAACAAGAAGTTAAATGTAGGTGCTTTGATACTCATCAAAAAAAAAAAAAAATGTATGTGCTTTGATGACCATAAACTGTGGGTGTTATTATTTCATTTTATTTTATTTGTTGATCAACAACAAAAAGAGTTTTATTGATGAGTAAGAGGAAAAACAGAGAGGGCAAGATGTCCTCTTCAAGAAAAACACATCCATTACATCAATAATCATTTGTAGATTGTTGCACACATAATCATTTTCTGTCAATTAATTTTTCTTTTTCTTTTTCCCAAGCACATGGAATTTAATCTTCGCTATTCCAATATTAATATTAAGAAGAATATTGCTCTTGCTTGTGTTGGTCCCATAGTCCAAAGGATCACCAAATATGTCCACAATGAAAGCTGAAGGGAAAAGAAAAAAAAAAAAATCATAAAATGCAGAAAGAAATTTGAACTTACTGACAACAGTCATTGTAGCACTTCTCTGCTTGCTTCAAGTCATTTGCAAAAAGGTACACAATGATTGCACTAAGATATACCTACGTCCAAAAAGGAAGGTTTAAGAATATTTCCCTGAAACAAATTATGCTAGGTAACAGGAAAGCAATGAAGGAATTCAGCTTTCATCACATGCATGCTAGTTATGCAAAAGCTACACAAGCAGGACCAAAAAAAAATTCATAACTTGGGAATTCATGTCATTATTACACATGTTACAAAAATAAATAAATAAATCAGTAAAATGCTCTCCTCTAAGCTGACATGACAACCATTTAACCAACTTGCATTTGTGTTGGCAATCAAACAATTAGGACTTTGAAAGGACCAAAAGATACAAGTGCTAGTGTCCAACATAAATATGAGAAGCGTGAAATGATGACACTCAAGTACCTGTTTAATATAAACATAAATGTTACCAAAGACACGACCATTTTACCTGATTCATCCCTTCCTCATCAATGGTAAAAAAAATAAACCCTCAACCATTTCTCATTTTTCATTAGTTCTCCCCTCAAAATAGCTCATTCCTAATAGACATTGATTCCGGTTAGCTCCTTTATGGGTCCGACAAGACTCTGTAAACTGTCCCGACATTGATTCCGGTTAGTTTCTACAAGGGTCCAGCAAGACTCCGTAAACTGTCTTCTACACCGGTCCGACATGACCCCATAAACTGTCTTCTACAACGTTATGACACCACCATACAGTGTCCTCTACAACGTTATGACACCCCCATACAGTGTCCTCTACAACGTTATGATACCCCCATACAGTGTCCTCTACAACGTTATGACACCACCATCCAGTGTGTTCACCAATGGTCTGACACGACCTTACAGTGTCACCTATCCTCTTTTATTTTTATGTATTTTCTTGTTTTGTAACTCTCTTCAAACTCAAGTTGGTTAGTTTCTATCCTCCTTGAGTTTGCGGGGGGCTGTTAGAATTTACCGTTCCCACTCACCTACTACACTCCACCTACCACCAATTTACCCTCACCTACTCCTCACCTACTACCCAAACCCTCTCCTATATAATGCCACTCTGATTTGTAATACAACACATCAACAAATACAATCAATAATAATACATCAGTTATTTTAACACTTTGTGCCCTTAGTTGCACCACTGTAGCTGGGCCAAAATAAGTTCAAGTGTATTTCCGTGAGTGAGATGGGTGTGCTTGGATAGAGAGTTCGCTTGATTGATGGAGAGAGTCTGAGAACAACTAGAAGGCTCATTAAAGGTTGCCTTTAAATGCCTTGACAAGGCTAGACCAATTGACAGGCATACCCACCCACATTTTATGGGTGGATGGAGATGATGGTGGGTACATGAAACCTTTTGGGAAGTATAGTGGTCATTGAGATGGGACTATTGTGTTACCAAAGGTTGGCTAGGTGAGGGCTAAGACAGGCCTAGAAGGGAGGGAGAGAGCAAGAGAGCATAATAAAGATCTAAGATGATGAACCAGGGTTTCCAAACTAATAGGCATGTGGAGGGCACAGGTCCGAGTTGATACAAGGCTACCTCTGGCTGGTGTAACACCCTGTTAGTAGAGCAACCTTAACATGTAGTGGCGCCAATATCCTCTGCGACACTTAGACACTCAGAGGTCTCATAAATTCACATGTTATTAGCTTATTATGGTTTCATTACATATAGTTATAGACGACCATATGTTATCTTGATCGATATCCCACATTTTTTGGCAAGTGCCTCTCCCTTCTTGTAGATCTTGCCATTACCTCTAACCTAATCAATTCACTAAATTTAGTCATACCTTTTCACTCAGAATATACATTAATCCTGATATATAAAAGGGAGCACACTCCTTAGTGATCGATTGTTTTTAAGGCTGTGTCAAAGTCTCTATTTCCAACAGAGTCCAAGAAATAACAATTAATTGACAATTCCACGTCAATCCCAAAAAAAATTTTTGTTTGAAAGAGTTTCCATGCATTTTTTAACTTACTTAAAAATATTGCTTCTTTATCATCAACTTTCCAATTGTTCTCAATCTATCGTTGACTTGAGTCTCGCTCAATATGGGGGATGATGTAATGAAAACTTTTTACACCAGTGTTTCAAACCACAATGGTAAAGACAAATGTACAATTAAGGTGGTGTGGGGTATTGCGTATTGGGTTAAATTCTTACTGTTGGCTAGAGAAAGATAGAGACCCAATCAACCAGAAGGTTGCGACCAAGAATGCATAGAAACATGTATGAGATCAAGGCCATTACGAAGGCAAGACCCAAATAGCATCTAATTCCTTGAAAATTTGGGAATCATTACAGAGCCACATTACCAGGAGCATGAAACTATCAAAGCCTACATCTAGCAAAAACTACAAAAGGAATATCACAGTTGATGCAGGTAAGGTGTTTCAGACAAATATGACACAAAGAAAGAGGAGAAAAAAAGAAAAATTCCAACTAACAGAAAAACATGATGAAAAAGAAAGAAGGTGCAAGATCAAAAAGCTTAGACACCTTGCACTGGCTATGGGTAGCATTGCACTTATCAGCTGCTAAACCCCATCTCAACAGGAAAGTTGCAGCATCTGCATATCTGTAGGTGATAAACAAATATATTACATTAACCAAAAGTTCTCTTTAAGCACATAAGAATATGAATGCTAATAGATTAGAAACGATTTACAAATATATAAAAGCACCAAAATGTATGTATGTAGACACGAAGTTAACATTCCATGAAGCTGCCCATGGATGTTTCCAGAAGTGAGATGGCCATGTCAGGTGTCACATTACGTATCAAAAAGCAAGACTACAATGTGTATATGCAAAAAACTCAAGCCACTACTTGAACACTAGGCACAACCCTTCTTAATTGTTGGCAACACTACATGCTTAAGTCAAGAAGATGAGAGTTTACCTAATTTGGTTCAGTATACATGTAAGATCAATTAGAAACAAACAAGCAGTACCAAATTGTTTGAGATATGAGGACAAAGTGGTAAAAATAACATATAGCACAAAACTCCATAAAATTTACAAGTATTTAAGCAATAACCACATTGTCATAGATGTCACATCATCTAAGAAAGGAGGAATGACTACAACGTGTACATGCAAAACTAAAGCCAATACTTGGACAGTAGGCACAGGTTGGCAACGCTACAAGCTTAAGTCAAGAAGATGAGATTTCACCTAGTTTGCTTCAGCAAACATGTAAGACCAATTAGAAAACAAACAATTAGTACCAATTGTTTGAGATATGAGAACAAAATGGTAAAAATAACATATAGCACAGAACTCCATAACATTTAGAATTATTTAAGCAATAACGACATTGTCTTGAATGTCACACCATCGAAGAAATGATAAATGAAGGCATAATAATTTTAATACATTAATAAACATAAAAAATAATTCACAAGTACATCACATATTATCTATATTGTATTATGAAGCTTGCTCACAACTAAGCAAATTGAGAGACAATGCATCAATCCAACAAAAATTTGGCAGCAATATTGCAACAAAAATTACCAAATTCATATTTAAATAAGTCAGAGGAGAGCTCCAACACATTGATTTTTTTTTTCTCTTCTATATATATAGAAACTATGTTTAGTTCTAATAAACACGCATAGCTTTATACATTTAGGGGCATTTACAGGCCGATCCTATTGGCCAGCCTTATTTACCTACAAGTCCTACTTTTTCCACATATCAATATCCCCAAAATGCCCTCCCCAAACCTTCTTCATCCCCATTATCAACACTGCCATGACACCCCCGTCCCCCCACTAGCGACCACCTTTGACTGCCGGTGACCACCTCCGACTACCATCTTTGATTGCTGGTGACTACCTCCGACCTCCGTCAATATTTTTCCGACAATGTTTTTCTACAATTCTCCAACCATTTTTCTGGAAAAAAACAATTTCCATCTCCGCCAAGTCACTACTCCCACTACCTTCTTAGATCTGGTGGTGACAATGTTATCAATGATAATAACATCCATCAATATTTACCACACCACTTAATCAGAAGCGTTCTGTAAAGGCTGACACATGTGAATCCTTTATCCAACACGTGAAGTACATGTTGTCATGTACATGTACACAACACGTGATTTTGGAGGAGATATCCACAAAGTGAATAATAGAAAAATACAAAATATATAAGAAAAAAACTGGTGATTCCTTACACAATTGAAGTAAATACAAAATACTGACATGTGTTATGCCTTTGTTGTGACGAAAAAAAATGTCCTTACTTCTCAAGCTTTACATAAACACTTGTGGCAGCACGATAAAGATCAAATGCCATTTGTTCCTTGCCATCTTCTTCAAGAATATCACAAGCATCAGTGTACAACCGAATAGCTTCATCAGGTGCATTATCTTCCAAAACACTGTAAAAAAATAATATTCATATCAGGCAATCATTTAGAATTAGAAAAATACGCTACAGATACCCATGAAAGGAAAACATAGCAGCAAAGAAAAAAAGTATACTGTAGTTAGATTATAGTTCTTTATCTTACACTGTACAAAGAAAGGGGTTTAAGGAGAAGAGGAACAACCATTTGCATGCTAGTGCAGCCCTACACAAAAAAGCTAATTGTTCCATTTGAATATCTATTAGCAAGTGAGATTCCAGAGAAAACACTTACTAACCCCCTTGGTGTTATTACATGACATGTGCATGTTCCATTTCATCATTGAATGCTTTAAGCTGAATTAGTTCCCTTAATATGAAATGCTATGCAGTATGCTGTGATGAATTTTTAAAACATAATTTAGGGACATTATTCCTTGAATAGAAAACACCTATATGCTTTTTTATGAAATGAATCAGACCTTAAGAGATATAAGATTGCAAATTCTCTTTTAAATATGGTATGTTCAAGTGTTGAATCGAGGTGCTTAATTGCATTAGTCTAATAAGCTGGATAATTTCATATGTTCTGTGAAAAAATTAATCGAGATTAGTAGATATTAAGCGTGATGAATTAAGCCAAACCACAATTAGTTAATTCAAGCATGGTTAGATACCTAACGTAACTTAATTAGTGTTAATCATGATTAGTTAGGTTAATTATGTGATTAGTTGATATGAAGTAGGCGCACACCATAATTTGGAGTGCCACCTCATACTCAGTGTTAAAATTGATGTATAAAGAAATAGAGAATTGTATTATTGATTAATCTATGTTGTGTTTACAATGAGTCCTATATATAGAAGATTAAAGGAGGTAGGTATGTAGCAGGTGGAGTAGTAGGTGGAGTAGGTGAAGTGGGTGGAGTAGGTGTAGTGGTAGGTTTTGGTACATTTTAACACTCAGAATAGATATATACATGTATTATAGCGATGACAAGTGTCTCTTTTCAAAATGAATCAAAGAAAAACAAGGAAAGAGAGAAATTAGCTGGAAAAAGAAAGGAGAGAAAGAGAGAAAAAAAACAAGGAAAGAGAGAAATTAGCTGGAAAAAGAAAGGAGAGAAAGAGAGAAAAAGAGAAGAGAGGAAATAGAAGAAAAGGAAGGGCAAAAAGCTCAATTTCTTGACCTATGATTGTTTTTAGTTTGCTTCAAGGTAAATTCATGTTCTTGCATCACTTTATGATCATTTAATTGATAAGATTTGTATTGAAAATGGATTTATTTTTAGCTTGAAATTTTTTGTTTTCTGTGCTTTTTTGTTTTTATTGAAATTTTTAATATTTTAAGCAATTTTTTTAAAAAAAATTTTTAGATACACCTAACATAAATACACTTAAAAAGTATAATAGTTGTGAAAAAATCTTTTAAAAATTCACTAAATATCAAAAAATTTGGAGACCTCTATTAATAACAGCTCAAGCGACCCTGACCCTCGCTTGAGCAAAATCCAGCAATTTTGGTAGTTTACTATTTTTCACATGTTTTGAAATGTTAGGGGCCATTTTTAACCTTTGGAACTTGTTTTAAAGTATAAGAGGATTACTAAACAACACTTCAATGCTTTGACCTACCTAATATGATTTGGATTGAGAGAAGAATTCTCCAATTAAGCTTGTTACCTTAAATACCTATATGATTAGTACCAACAAGAATTGCCTATGTTATCTATGTTATGTAGGCCAATCAACTTTGTGGATTAACCTACTTCAAGGAAATCAAGGTGAGTAGTGTCTCATCAAAGTTTAAGCTTTGAACTTCTATTTTCAAACTTTTGTTATGAACCGTAATGCTTGATATCAACGGATGTCCTATGTTATCTATGTTTGGAAATATACAAATGGCATCCTCGGTTAAACCTGGCTACTAATGGACAAAAATATGCTAGTAACATATGGTTGAGATCTTGTTTGCCACGTGTGAGGGTTTATTTAACTGGTAGTTGACCTGGTTATTCTTTTGTTCGCACCATTGGATGTACTATCACTTTTTAGAAATGAAATGCATCTGATACTGTTTTGTCTTAAAGTTGATTAAGTTTGTGCAATTATGTTATTATCATAAGAATGAACATATCCATTACTTTTGTAGCTTTGAGTTAATGTTATTCATTGCACTTTGGGTCACCCCTCTCCCCTATATGTATGTAGGTGAAAAAGGTGATTAAGACGCGTGCACAACATTGTATATATGTATTTATGATGTGAGTATCCGCATGTTTTAGTCTTTTCAAGAGCGTAATGTGTTATTCATTACGTTTTCTTTTGATTCAAGTTGTACTCCTTTTGTGACTAAGTTAGATGGTGGTAACAATAAACAATGAACTGGTTTGTTTTTATTTCATTTATCTACACACCTACTTTGAATGGATGTTGTAGGATTAAACAGGTTAAAGAATTTAAAAGCTTTCGCTTTTTGTGATGAATTTATCCCAATTTTTTCATCAGTACAATATGGTTGTTCAACTAGGTTCATGACTATCGGTTGATCAGTACTCTTATCTCATTTTCGGGGTGAGACGGGATCGTGACACTTTCACCATGATGAATGACTATAAGATTCTTGGACGTTATCCTTAGTAATACTATTAAGACAAGGAAAAGAGAAAAGAAAAATTATACAAATAAGAAAGCAACAAAAGGTTTAGATATGAAATAAGATGCAACTACAAAGATGAAACACATATAATAATATTCACGTAGGGTATCCAAATAATTATTAATTTGATAAGTAGATCTGATTGAAACCATGAGCAAAAATTGCAAAAGCAAAATTCTAAATGACTTCTCTTTTTATCTCTTTCCCCAAATGTTGAAAAACAAATAAACAAATAAATAAATAAGAAAGCAAGGAAACACAGTCATTTCTGTATCTGATAGTGCGAGGAACCCAAAAGAGAAAAGCCATTTTTTTTTTAGAAATGAGCAATTACTGGAATTTCTAATATTCACCCTTTTTTGAAAAAAAAGAAAAAAAGAAAAAGAAAAGTCTCCACTCATACATAGAAAAACACATAATTAGAAAAATGTAAAATGAAAGCTAAGATACGAAGAGGTCAAAGCAGATGCCTACCGAGCACCTCTTGCAAGAGCATCCGATGCTGGTTGTGACCTCCCGCACTCATTGTATAATTCAGATGCCCTTCTATAAAAGTCAGCAACCTCACTCCAACTGCCTAATTCTTTTGCCAGTGCAGCAGCAGACTCCAAATGCTTAGCAGCATCCCAGGGCCTGTTATTCTCATTAAAGATAGAACCGTAGTATAAACAATTATACCTAAAAGGCTAAAATAAAAGATCAAGTTAGACCCAATGAGTGAGCAACAAAAGTCGAAGAAAAGGAGGTTACGAAGAGAGCATCTCTTGTCCTTTGGAAGCTTTCTCAAATGCAGCTTTTGCTTTCTCATAATTTTTGGCAAGTCTGAATCCATTAGCTACAGCAGAAGAAACAATCTTCATGAAGAAATTAAAGTATATCTTTCTTTCCATAGTTTGGCTTATAATGATAATGCAAAATTTAGACTTCATTATATTTTGGCTTTCAAATGATGAATTTCCATAATGAAAAAGTAAAGCAATTTTTCAACTCTCCTATATTTCCCCTTCCAATAAAGTATATTACAAATCCCATAAACGAACACAAAAACAATACTTCTCAAATTTGTAAAGTGCTAAGAAGTACGGACACTTGTAAGAAGATGGTGTGACCGTGTTGACACATGTTAGACACCAATACTTGTTGGAGACTTCCCAACACACATTGGACACTTCCGACACGTGTCAAACACATGTCCAAACATATCCAATTATTTTTTTAAACTTTGTTATAGACTCAAACATGCTTTGGACACTTGGGGGACACACATGTCCATTGATTAGACACACATGAAATCCATTACAAATTTGAATAAAATAACTAAAGATCAAATGATAAAAGAAAACCAATTTAGATATACATATTAATCCATCATTTTTTTAACTTTAAAAATTTGTACTATGTTGTATATTTTTATTAACTTTGAACTAAATATGCATATGTATGATATATAATACATATATAAAATCATATATTTTGATTGTCGCTCATGGGTCGTGTCCTTCATTTTTTGAAAATTGTCGTGTTGGTGTGTTTATGTCGTGTGATGTGTCAGTCAATGTTCGTGTTTCTTCAGTTAAGAGTAATTATAGAGTTAGTCCAAAAGATAAATTGATTGCGTTTGTTGTTATTTTCTTAAATTTTGTGCTTTCTCATGCATAACACACATTTTGGGATGAAGTAAGTACATTATAGTAGTAATGATGAAGTAAAATTTAAAATAAATATAATGCTAGAAACGAATTCAAAGTTTACAAAAGCATGCATAAATTACCTACCAGCCTGCTCATACAAAAGAGTAGCGCTCTTCCAATCAGCACTCCACCTTGTTAGGCTGAGTTGTGTTCTATGATAATGAAAGAACCAATCAATTTTGACACTTGGACACAAGTAGCATTTTTGTAAAGAAGAAAAGAAAAAAGGTTATTATTTGGACCTAACAAAATCTTCTTGACAACAAAAAAATCCACAAAATCAATTTTTCCTCCATCAACTTAACAAGAACAAAACAATACAATATCATAATGTTGGCGCTTAGCTTCGATTTTTGGGTGTAGAGTGGAGCACCTCCATTCTACTTATTAAGGCTTACCATTGACAGTGACTTGTAAGCCAAGGCATGTTTGTTATTCAGTTGTTGAAAGATTTCAAGGGTGATTGGCAGGATTGAGGAGGCAATTTTTGTCAAATGTGATAGGTCGATTAAAAGTACTTCATCAAACTTTCCTACTTCATATCTTTGATCCTCATATTTTTATTGGCAGCCAGGAGACTTGAAAGGATGCAAAGAGATTTTATTTAGGATGGGATCAGATAGGAGTTCAATATCACATTGTTCATAGATGATATTGCTCGACTAGATACTAAAACTATGGGAGGAATTAACACTAAAATATAAATTTCGAAAAGAAACACTCGAGTCAAAAGAGCTTAAAATTAGTAGAAGTAAAACTATACATGAATTGTTACTTTAGCAACAATATAAGTAGAAATAATGGAGAATTGGACATGACAACTAGGAGATAACAGAGTGAATATTTTTATTATCTAGATTTGATTTTTAATAAGGATGGAGTGCTGATGTGATCCATAGAAATCAAAGTAAGCTAGCTAAAGTGGAATAGAAAATTGAAAAGTTAATTTTATAGAACATCTATAAAGCTAACGATGCTTTATGTGATAGAATGTAGCACAACTAAGAAACAACACTTCATAAAATGCATACATTAATGCATATATTAATGAAATTAAAGAAGTAACATCAACTGAAGATAAGTTGAATGAGTACAAAGTTAAGATAGTTTTGTCATGTACAATAAAAACCTGTAGATAAGGAACAGTGATATGATCACTTTAAATAGAAATATTAGGTGGAAGGGAAGACGAACAGTGACATGATCACGGTAAATGGAAATATTAGGCGGAGAGGAAGATCAAAACTAACATGAGATGCCATAGTAAAAAAATATATATGAATTTATTTAGTTTAACTGCACATAAAGCCCTTGACAAATAGCAAAAACAAGATTTATATAGCCAACCCACCTGATTGGGACAAAAGCTTATGTATGGTTTGGTCAGTTTATATTTCATTGTTTATTATAAAAATGAATTGTAGATTCTAGTTAATCTGAATAATTTCAACAAATTTTCAGCTTCCATTTTTGTAATCCAAATTCACACATTTAATTAAATTTCACCAATTGTATTTTATTTCCACGTCAAAATGAAAGGCACAGACAAACAGAAGTTCAGTTACCATAACAAACTAACCATAATTCAACTATTACTACTAAATCGAGTTTTATTAATATAAAATAAATAAATAAACCAAAGAAAATTTGTCTGTTGTACATAAGAATGCTCACATACATATAATATATACAGAGAGAGAGAGAGACTGACAGTTTATCGCCTTTGATCATCAACTTTTCAGGATCGGATGCCGCCATGGCTTGCAGGGTTGGCCCTGAGCTTTTAGGGGCCCTAGGCAAGCTTCTAAATTAGACGATGCACACACACACACAAAAAAAAATGTTTGTGTGTAATAGTTTTCAAAAAAAAAAAAAAAAAAAGAAGTGGGCAAACTGGTAAGTCCCAAAATAAAGTTTTATTTGCAAGTTAGGACACTATTTGCTTGCACATGTAAAAATAAATAAATAAATAATGAAGAAGAAAAGACCGGGTGTGATATATCAAACATAAGTTATATAACATAACAAAAATTAACAGATTACTGAAATATATGCTACTAATGAATGATGAGATCAAGCAGAAGAGTGAAAATTAACAGCCAGGCCAAAAGAGTTCCAAGGGTGCAGAGATACTCAGAGAAATGTCATCAGCTCATTAGAGCATCTCCAACCCATCCTTCATATTTATGAAGGATGGTCTCCTCCAACCCACCTTCAAATTCATCTCCATTTGAGAGGAGAATGAGTTCATCCTTCATATTTGAAGGGAGGATGAAAAAATGAAGGATCCCTCCAAAACACTATTCATTTTGTATTTCTTATTATATTACAAATAATTTTTAATTTGTAAATTTAATTTTTATAAAATTGACATCATTAAAAAGTATAAAATCATACCTTTAAAATGAGTATAATATTAAATATATTTTACAAAAATTTTAAAATTAAATATTTATTAATGAATAAAAATTACTTTTTGAATAGAGTTTGAATGAAGGAAATGAAGGTTTGTGGTTGGAGTTTGAATGAATAGTGACCTCCTCTATATTTACTTTTTGAATAAAAAACATTATTTTTATCCTCTTAGTGAGAGTATTGCATTGGAGATGCTCTTAAGGAAGATATAACTTCAGAAACTGAATTAACAATTCATAACACCTGTTTGAATGTGGTTGACTAGTCCAATGCATTATAAGATTCTTAAACAATTTAAAACTTAAATAAGTAAAGAAGCAAGTAATATTGTACTACTGAGACCCACATGATATCTCACAACAATTAGCAACCCTGATACTGCGTTGAACTACTTAAATTCACATTAGTTAATTATGAACCACAAAACTAGTCAAGATATAGTGTAGGACTCAATTAACCTATCCAATTTCTTAAGGATTGCCATCGAAGTTCACTCCAAACAATTTCATTGACTCACAAAAATTGCAGTTATAGACTCTTGAGTATGAACACTGCAACATAATTGTGTGATGACAAGGATTTGATGAATAACAAAAACTTCTAAAATGGCACCAAACATAGATGTGAAGAACATAATTGAAACACGGCAAATGATGGTTCGATCAAACATGAAGATGCCTAATGTTCTAAACCACAAAAACAAGGAAAATGAATAGAGTTCTATGGGTGCAATCTTTCAGGGCGCCGATTAAAAAATTGGCAGGGCAAGAATGGGACCACTTGATGTACAAAACAAAAAGCTTTGCTATGCAGTACAGGACAGATTATTTATTTCCCATTTTTCTATTTGTGGGTTGGGTTAAGTTTGGGTTAACTGATGTATGCTGGAGCAAAACTGCCAGAGGGGCTAGGGCCATGGGGCGGGTTTGGCATTCCCCGCCCCCGCAGACAAACCCCACCCCCGCCCCACCCCACTAAGGGCAAATTTTTTAATCCCATCCCCAACCTTGTGGATACCGACCACATTTTAAATATCCAAAAAAATTGACAACCATTTAAATCCTTAGCACACTAAATAATTTTCCTTGTTTCCATATATATATAAATAGTGAGACTTTCAGGATTATTATTTATTTATATTTAAACAGAACCACAAACTTTTAATATTCCTTTTTATATCTAATTATATTATATATATATATACATATATATTATTTATTTATATATTATTAATTATATCGGGTCGAGTTCGGATCGAGAGAGGCAATACCTGCCCCAGCCCCGCTGTGGGTGACCAAAATATAATCCACCCCCACCCCACATAAGTGTCGGGACGGGTAAAATCCGCCCCATTGGGGCAGGTAATGGGCGGGTCCCGCGGATCGGATTAAAATGGCCATCCCTAAGTACAACTATAAAGTCAGGTCCGCTGTCCAAATCTGTACGGTTGACAATATGAGATAAATGACAGGGGCAGTCATGGTTGATTGCAATTACACGTTGAACCGAAAATTTAGATGAAACTAACAATTTTCAATATACAATTATAAAGCACCAAATTTCTTTGCAGGTAGATGAATAAGTCGATTAGCGATGAACAAACAGAACCAATTAGGGTAATGGGAATTGAAGTCAAAACCCTAAGAAACCTTAATGAAACGGCTACTGATCAATCAAAAAATTATACAACTCACAAAACGCAAACCCTACTTGAAGATATGAACCTCATTCAGCGCAATGATACGATGACTAAACAGAGTGCAATTGAGGAAAGGAGACATAGCTCCAAAGCAGTGATCGGAGCTTTTCATTTGCGGGAAAACTTTAGATAGTATTGGATTGATGATAAATCAATCGCAATACACGCACACCAAGAATAATATTGCAAGATGAAGAGGAAGCAGAAATTGGGGAATACATATTATTTGTATTTTTGGCTGGAAATTGCGTTTTACTTAATTAATTTATTTCGCCAATACACTTAAAAAATAAATTCTTGTTTTCGCCAATACACTTAAAAATAAATTCTTGTAATTACTAGAATAATGTGTACCACTTAAATATTTGTATGGTAGAAGAAGGTTTAGGGTATTAACATAATGCTAGTATTAATAGTACCCCAACACCCACTGAAAATCCCACACTATACTACTATTGTACTATGAATCTGCTTGCTAGATAGTTAGCTTCCTATCTAATCTAAATGATATACTAAAACACAATTGAGGACTGACCAAAGTTTCAACTTTTGGTTAAACAAGAAAAATACACAGCTTTTGTTAGGGCCATAATGGTTGTGAAAAACTAACTACTCTCCAGTTTTATGTTGTGCAGCGAAGGTTTGCAATTACATAAATTGTGACCAAATAGGAACCAAGAAGCAGAACCCCACACAGAAAGAAGAGTTTAAATCTAATAGTGAATGCAATGGGAAAAAGGAAAAAACAAAAAAAAGAGCTAATCTGGAAACACAATAAAATTAAACAGAAACAGAGCTTTTTACACGAGACAACAAGATCAAATTTTGGAAATAACTTCTAAAACTGAAGAAAGATAAGAAATGCAACTAATGAAAATGATATTTACAACCCAAAAATAAATATAAAAAATGTGGAGAGCAGATGAAGAGGAAAGATTAAAGAAGAAAGGAGATATGACAGACCACCCACCACCCTACTCTGGCTTCTGTTTTCACAGCTTAAAACAGCCTGATAAATCAATCTTCAAGGAAAAGAATCTAGAGGTGGATATATATATATATAAGAAGGTTGAGTCAAAAATTAATCAAGTTTAATTTGTAGTAGAGTACTTGCAGATGGGTTTGGATTTTGAGATCTCAAAACGGTAAAGATAAGAGCTAATCTAGTAGGCCGAGAAACAAAAAGCGTACAAACCCCAGATAAAACTATGTAAGAGATGATAAAAAAACAATAACCAAAAGTTGTAAGTATGAACACATCTATTAATTCTTGGAAGGGTACTGCTACATGGTTGTATACTCCCCCCCCCATTTTGGCTAATTGTTCCTCTTAGGAAGCATGATTGCCCTCTATGATGTATTTTTACTTCCTCTCTATTATTAATAGTCTCAGAGTACCATGTTACACTGTTTACATGATGCTCCTAATGAATGTCGTACCAAAAACTTTTACGTGTGGGATAACGATAACCCACCTTTGTTAGGTAGTTGAGACACATTGGATGACTCACCTAGTGTGTTTTGTGGTTCCATATTTAACAGAAACACCACGTAATCAATCTCACACGATATTCCGGAACTACTTAATAATTTTTCCTATTAGTGAAAGCTTCCTATGTTTTGGCCCCAACCAAAAAAAAGGTCTGCTAATTGATGTTTTGAGGACACTAATTTATGTAAAATGCTTGCATACTTTCTCATGCAAGTAGATAGATGTGGACTAGATATTCGTTAACCAACACTTGTGTTTGCATCCATTTTTGTAAAAATGTCTGTCAACAGAGTAGGAACAAGCCACAGATGACACGTGGCAGTAAGTGGAGAAGAGTACAGGCAAAGGACATGTGGCCAAGACATGAAGAATGAGATATCAGCATGAGGGAGAGGAAGGCTTGGTGTAAGAGTTAAGGGCAGTTAAAGATGAAGTGGCATGCAAATGTAGAGGAAACAGGGGGCATGATCTACAAAGACCTTAAAGTAATGAGAAGTGGCTACAAGAAAGGAGGATGAGGCCAGGACTTGGAGCACTATACAAAGAGGCAGGAGATAGAAGCAAAGGAGGACAACAGAACGACACACCAAAACTAGCATAGCATAGCATACTTAGGAGTAGATCTTTCTTAGGAGTAGTTCAACATTGTAATTTCAGTCCAGTGTTTGTAAACTTTGGAAAATTTTAATCAAATTTTCCTTTGTTTACTTCTTTTCCTTTGTTATTGTTCCAAATAAGTCCATGAACTTTTTAAGGCATTGAGCCTCAACGCAATTGCCTGGCTTTTTTTTTTTTTTTGGATAAATAAATAAATAAAATTTTATGGAAGAGCATCAAGATGATGCCAAAGAATACAAAATGGAGCCACAAACCCCTAAGCAATCAAGTCATCCAAATAGTCCAAAAAAGCAAACAAATCTGGATCCACCGTAGCCAAAACCCAACTATACAAGACTACTACCAACCTATTCTCTAACCACGAAGCTAGATGAGATTCCCCCTGAAAGATATGCCGAGTCCACTCCTACCATAACAACCACATTAAGCACAACGGGGACAAAGCCCAAGCCTTCCGCTGTCACCCCTCTCGGCTAAGCCCAAGTGACACCAAAAATAGAAAAAATAAGCATCCACAACTGGTAGGCCATAGGACAATGAATAAGCAAATGATCCACAAACTTTGCATTGCCACAAC